GAGATACGGTTCATGGTGCAAACATTTGGCATCAACATAAAGTGACACAAAAATGAAAATAAAACCTAATGGTGGAAGAAGTAGTCTGATTATTTACTTCAATAAAAGTAGCAAAACAATAATGTAAAAATGCTCGATTACAAGTACAAATTCTGCATTCAAAATTGAAAAAAAATATATATATATTTAGAAATAGCCTATATGTATCAGCAAAATATATTTAAAGTATTAAAAGTAGAAGTACTTGTTCTGAAGAAAAATGACCCCTGTGATTGGATATATTATTAGATTGTTAATACTGACTCATCTGTGCTTAAGCAGAGTTTTGTAGCTGGTTGAGATGGAGCTAGTTTTAGTCCTTTTACATTAAGTTAGGACCAGTGTTCCCACCAAGGGGTCAAGCCTCCTGTAAAAGGTCCCAAGGTTAATCTTGGTGGGATTGGGAAATGATTAATGGTGTATACAAGGCAAATCAAAATTTGACTACTTAACATATATTTTCATTTTCAAATAATGAAAAATTGGATTCTCTCTCATGAACAGTAAATGAATCTCACAGACATGATATGAAACATGTCAAGGGGCCCCAAGCTGGCACAGTTTTTTTGTATGGGGTCACAAGGCCTTTAACAATGCTTTGTATTCTCTAAGCTCATCATATATTTTTTATGAGAAACCATAATCTGAAATGTAACCAGTAATTACAGCTGTCACATAATTGTTGTGTAGTCAAAAATACAATATATATTATATCCTCACCCACACACCTACACAGGACTGTCACACTAGGACTTATTTATCGTTTTTATCTTATTTGTATTATATACAAAAGTTTATTTTACATAGGCAACTACACTTTGAAATATATATTATCTTACTGGTCTTTTATACTAAAGTTTTTTTCTCTCTTTCTTTTATATTTGCATATATATATTTATTTTGTACATACTGCCTCCCCTTTATTCCTGCTGTGATATGTGTCATTGTAACGTAATTTAATTTTGATGCAAATCCAAATGACAAATACAGTCTGTCTAAGTCTAAAACGGTGCCAGAATATATTACTGTAGTGATAGTTTGCTTTTATGTCAGTCAAAATTATGTTTTGGGAACTTTTATGTTCCCCATGGGATGTTTAAAGAATCACACAAGTCTATTAATACGCTTTAGATCCTTATAAGTAGTAATCATGTATAATTTATAATTTATGCTGTATATTATGTTTATACTCATTTCAAGCAATTGTTTAATTAATTTTAGTGCATCATAAAAATCAATAGGATGTCTCTTGAAACTTGCTGTCACTGTATAATCCATTATCGTGAGCATTTCACTTTGTCGGAGTTACATTATTCTTGTGGAGTGATGTAGATAAACTGCAGATTGAAAACAAAAGTCTGCAATACTCGCTGCTATACACACATATTATATTTCTGGCCAATATGCTGTTGAAGGAGGAATTGGAGCAGGATGTTAGAGATGTTCTAGGTTTAATAAATTCCACCCAGAGATACAGCTAGATTTTCTTTAACCACCATAAAGAAATGCTGTACTTTATTTGTGTTTATAACATAGAATCATACACAAAGGGTTATGCATTGTGACTTTGTTTGTGGCTGCAAGGCTGGCAGTTTAAAATGCACAGACGTCTGCTATACACAGTTATATTTCACAATGTACACCTAGAAGCTGACCAGTACAACCGCAGTCTGATCTGCAGCTCCACTGGGTGCAGCTGGATGTTGTAATTTAGCACAGCTTTCTCATTTATCCCACACAAGTTTATCCTGCTATCTAGGGGTTTGATCCAGGCGAGCTTAAGGTCAGCACAACAAAAGACCTTCTAACATGCTCACCAGTTGTGGTAAAGAACTGACAACATTAATGTGTGTGAATCAAATCCCAGACATGTGTTAGCTTCTTACTGATGATATTTTATTGTCATTGTTTAAAAATGGCCCACAAACAGTCAAATAAGTCATGAACTGGTTGGTAAAGCTGCATAATGTGCTCCTCATATAATATGGAAAAGTGTTTTGACATTAAATGAACAGCATCGGTAGACACATTTGATCTTTCCTCTGCCTAAGGACTTCAGTGAGAGGCCATAGTGGAGTGGATCCAGTCAGTAAACTGGCAGACCTGTGGAGAATAAAATTAATATAACTTTAAAAATGGAGGCAGAGGAAGGACAGTTTTAGCTGGTTCACTTTTTAAATTATTGTGACACAATGAACACTAGAAATCAAAGTTTAGGATGTTGATAATAAATCAGGTATAATTAAAATATTATGTAAGATACCAGAGATTTAAAGATATATTCTGTGCATGTCAAGTCCAAAACACAAGCTTTTTGTGTCCTTGGATACAGCGTCTGTAGTCTAAATGACCTTCAGACAGGTCTGAGTATAACAGAGCTGAGCTTTGCAAGGGTAGTTATTTATTTATAACAGCTCTTACTGCAGTGAAAGGAGGTTAAAGTTACATTTTAATAATGGCAGGTGATCATCTATACAGCAACAACAAATACATTTCACAAAATATGACAAAGACTCACAAAATCCTCAATAGATAAAAGTAAATAATGGCACTTTCTGGAGTGTTGTAATGTCCCTAATTGACAAAAAGCCCTTGTCTGTGCAAAGTAGAATATTTTAGGCATATTTAAAGTTAAACAAGGCATTTTTACACATAAAACTCTCTAAAGTATCACAGAACAGAGATCTACAGGGTGTACCAACCTTGGCGTAAACACCGGGACGATTTTCTTCAGCACAGCCCCATCCCCAGGACACCACACCCTGGAGCTCCCCATTACACACCAGAGGGCCACCAGAATCTCCCTGATGGAGACGATGGAAAAATAACACTGTCTTAAATAATAACACTCGCAAAATAATAACTAAACTGTAATAAAAGTGATAATAGCAATAAGAAGAAAAAGGAATAAGGGAGTTAAAAGAAGACCAGTTGTGAAATACATTTAAAACAAAAGCAGATAAACAAATAAGTGGCCAATAAGTGGGCAAAATCAAAAACACGACATTACACAAAATCTGTAATATTGCATCTAAAGGCGCATTTTGTCACATTAAAGCTAAATTAACAAGCTGATATTTTTAAAGAAGGTAAATAATGTATGTTTAATATGTAAACATAAATCAGCTTTTCCAGTTTGGGGATCAAAATGTGGAACTGGATCCTGATCGAGACCATTTTAAACTATAAATGAAAGATCAGTTATGTAGTCGTGTTTTATGGTGCTTTAATGTATTACTTTGTGTCCTGTATTGTTTTGTTTTTCTTGTTGAGTTCTGTGTTATTTGTTGAGTATGTTTTGTACTGTCTCTTGAATATTTGTAGAGTTTTATGTTTTATAAAGGCCCATCTAGGGACAGGCATTACAAATTAGCTTGGGCTATAAATGTCAGCCTTTGTTTATGCACTAGTCCCTATACAAATAAACAATAAAAAATAAATAAATCACATGCAAGGGAAATAATTTTTCAAAATAAAACTCAAATTGACCTAAACTGTTTTATCTTTTGTATATTTCTGCCTTCATGTACCTGGCAGGAGTCCTTTCCTCCCTCCAGGAAGCCGGCACAGAACATGGAGGAGGTGATCCTGTTGGGGTAGGAGCGTTCACAGTCCTGCTGGGGCAGGATGGGCAGATCCAGGCAGTGCAGGCATTTCGTACAGCCGACTGGGCCACACAAACACAATCAGAGAGACATTTTTTACATTTACACCTGCCTCATCATCAGTCACATTATTCAAATCATAAAGCTATCTACTGCTGAACACTAGTAGGAACCGCAGCAACTCTGAACACAACCTATTCTTCTAATCCCGGACTTACAGGGGCTCTGAGTGGCTCCCCATCCAGAGACCAGACACTGGGTGCCTGCAGGGGCACAGCTGCTCGGCAGGGCGATGGGCTGGACGTACTCATTAATCTCTGCTGGCTCGGCAAGTTTAATCAGCATGATGTCATTGTTGATGGTGTAACGGTCGTACTCTGGGTGGCGGATGATGACAGCAGGGGCGATGAACTGCTCAGGGCCGTCCTTGTACCCGATGTGGTGCTCGCCTAGACGCAGCTCGATATCCTCACCCCTGAGAGGCCACGGTGGAAACAAAGAGAGAGAAATGAAAGAAAAGCAGAGAGTTAGAAGCAAACAAGAAGTCTTCTTTCAGTAAAGTAACTTACTTATAGCAGTGTGCAGCACTGACGACCCAGCGGTCATTGATCAGGGTTCCTCCACAGTAGTGCCAGCCGTTGTTGAGTGACACCTGCCAGGGGACAGAGTGATCCCTGCACTCGTAGCCGCCAACGATCTTATCATCAAAGCCGAGGGCAGCTGTGCGGGTGGCAGAAAGACAGGAGAGGACACAGAAAAAGTGTAGAGATGAGGAGTATTGAGGCTGTTATTTGAACCACACATAACAATTCTCATCGGACAAAAGGTCATGACCCTGAACTCTACAACACATCCCTGGAAAATGTGAGCCTGAGCATAAAAAAAGCGACACTTTCTTCCAGCTGGCAAAGGTGCAAAAGGTTTATTTTCACTCAAACTTACCGCTAGTTCCCACCAACACAAGAAAAGTGAGTAACATCGTGGCTTTGGTTTGGGCGTCTGCGGACAGGAAGGTATCTCATTTAACTCCTCAAATTTAAAGCATGTTTGCTCCCCCGTGTCAACATCACTGACAGCTGATAATGAGGAACGACCAATGAAAGATGCTGAAAAAGAGGGAACTGGTGCCAGAAAACGATTGAAAATATCATATATCGTATGGGAACTCTGGCAACTGCGCCAAGAGCAAACATTTGGTGCAGTTATCACGAGGAATGGGAAATGTCAAGCTGTGTTAAATAACTTCAATTCAGACGTTATTCTGCCAGTGGGGTTTAGTGTTTTTGTCAGTGATTTGAATGTGTTGCGATTTGGTTGCAATACAAGTTTGTGTACAGTAATAATAGCAATTCAACATGGATGTTACTACATAAAACATGGAAAAATAACCAGTGAAGTCCTAGTTTATACTAGCTGTCCAAAAGCATTAAATGAGCACAAGCTATCTTTTCAGTTCTGATTTAATTCAGACTTTAAATATAACAGCACAGTGTTAAATATTATTAAGACATAAGAATTAATTTACATTAGTACAACTTACTCTTACACCCACATATACTGCTTGTAAATACAATGCAAAGGCCTCCTTATCAATATATTGTAAACATGTGACAAAACTGGCAAAACCAGATTACACATTAATTCAAATATAATAATAATAATAATAAAGTGAATCTGAAGTCTGTTTCCTGTACAAGTAAACCTTTAACCCCGGTCAGTTTAGTAACGTAGGCAAAGCTTTTCTTCAAACACTTTACACAAATACAGCAGCACTTTAAATTCAAGGCACCTCCGATTACTGACATATATATTAATATATATCAGTAAAGAAATTACTGCAATGGCTGGTCGTTTTCATTGAAGTTTCTGTTATATTCTCAATGTGCATTTAATCTTTAACTTGTAAATGCTGGTAGAAAAATGCTTAATCATGTATATATCTGGAATCATTTAGCATTAAAGCTGGTTATATAAAGTTTTTAGTGGTTTTGCTTGATCGTTGTCGCCTATAAAGGTTTTGAGTGCAGGGTCCCTAAGCTTCCTCCAGCTTTGACTTGTTTACTTTTCTAACATTTATTGCATCTCTCCTCTCTTTTTTTATCCAAGAACAACAAAGTCCCAGTAATGACACAATCAATCAGCCCGATGGATTGTTACTCTGATAAGTCTCTTCCAGCTTTGGCCGTTTGCGAAGAGCAGGAGTCGGGTTTTCCTGCTGGAAAATCGTCCTCATTTGCTCCACGCAGATTTCTGAAGCGACGTCCGTCTCCTTGGCGAGCTGTGATAGGCTGAGGAAGCCATGGGGCAGGTCCTCCACCACCTTCAGAGTCACAGGCTGGCCCATGTCTCGCAGCTTCTTGGCAAACATCACCGAGTCATCCAGCAAGGCATCCAGAGCAGAGGCCTGCAAGGACACGTGGAGCGATTAGGAAACAAGAACTGAACAAAACCAAACAGTTCGCTGGAAAAAATGCAAATAATGCATTAGTAACTGTAGCCTGACTGAGACCGATATCGATATTTGAGAGTTTAAAAGCAATATTGGTCAAGAGTAATTGTTTTTTTACACACAAATAGTCTTGATATGGATAATTTTATATTTACAGATAAAGATAAATCTGCCGTGCATGAAACTGGACCACAGTGGGCTGTTAAGAGCAAACTGTTTTTTTAAACAAACCCAATAAATGCAAATCCATATGTTCAGTTCACCAGCCAGTTGTAAAGTTTGTGTGTTTGTCGTTCGGTGCTGAGCTGGGAGCGTACAGTGAGTTAAATGAGAGCTTTGTCACTGAAAACAGTCGTCTGCTGTTACTGAAAACAGGGTTGATGAGAGCAGAGTTTCAGGCAAAGAGAAAACAAAACAAAAAAGGATCCATAGAGGAGAGGTGGGTGATCAGTTTAGTTTGATCCATTGTTATAATAAAAAAGGTTGATCAATGCAACTTTAAAGTATCCTTTTGAAAATGGAGAGCAGTAATGGTTATAATTTCAACAAACACCTGGCAAAAAGCAGTTATTCATTATTATTGATTATCTTGATCAACCTTTGAATCCGACACAAATACGTTGTTGTCAGCTCCTCTGAGTCTGAGTCTGCGACGTCTCACATCTGTACAACAATTTAAAATTCGGTCTTACTGGTTGCACAGCAGACATTTTGACATGTCACAGCAGGAAACTCACAGGTGTGTTAATGACAGCGGCATTCCACTTAGGGGAGGTCCTGCTATTGTGCCCGCCGGCTCACTGTCACTGTTGACGGGACACTTATCGTCACCCTGCTGTCGTTACTGCTATTAAGTCCGCCTGTTTTTCCTGCTGTGTCAAAATGTCTGCTGTGTCCATTGCCACTATATACTTTCATCAAGATTCAGGTCTGCAGCCTCTGTGGAAAGTCAAAACTGTACTGAAGTTAAACACCATGTGGAAAATAAATGAAGCTAAGTGGTTAAACTGTCTGGATGAGGTTATTTCTAGAAAACATAAACTCTTCCACCGTCGACTACCTCAGTTCCTCTTCCCTCTCTTACCACTATGTGCACAGGAGGCATGCCTTTCAGCAGGCTGTTCGGAGCCAGTAGGGGTGACACAAACGGGTTCCTGATAATGGGGCAGGAAGTTGGGGAAACGAAGGCCAGGCACTCGGAGCGCAGGGGCTCAAAGCCCTCTGGGTAATCTGTGAGACCTCCGCAGTTTGGTGAGGAGTTGTGAGTGGATGTCCTGCGAGTTTCGTTGCTCGGGGACCTCCTCTGTGCTGATGACAGCGAGCGGGAGCCGTCTGAAGTCCGCAGGGGGTCCAGAAAGGACTGGATCCAGTTGGAGGCTCCCTGGGTGAGATCACCGAGCAGCACAGCGGTGTCTCTACCCAGAGAGCTCAGACTGCTGCTTCCCACCGCAGGCTGCACCGTGTGACAGTCTGCCCCTGGGAGGGAGATAATGGGATGTAAGTTAGGGGAAAATATATCAAAAGACACTTGAAAATGGTGAAATATTGGTGGCTGAAAAACTAAATGAAAAAGATAATACAAGCTTGAAAAGCATGAGGAGGTGAAACAACTTAATTGTCTTTTAAGGGAGCGAGGCAATAAATCCTGATTATAACTTCCTCCTCCTGTATAAATGGAAACAAGATGCTTTCATCGCATTTACAGAGAGTTTTTTATCGTATCTCAAATAAAATCAACCACTTTTTATTTAAAACAGGCTTTCACACATGTTAAATATTCATAACTTCCACTGACTGTGTAAGAAGTTACTTTCATAACCACACACAGAAACTGAATGTGTGAGGGTCACATTATCAGGCAATGCGAGCTAACACAGTACCTTTTAAACCAATTATCCAGGTAAAGCCATTAACCTGTTTACTGTTTACTGATATGCAATGACATCTGTTCTCTGTGTTTTCTGTTACAGTGGCGCCCAGAAACTGCTCTTTCGTTAAATGAGGCGTGAAACCAGAGCACACACCTCCTGCTGTGCCATTATACACCCACGTACCTGCGTAGGCATTGATGCACTTTGTGAGAACACCTAGGGGCAACAGAGGGTCAATGAGCGTGAGCAGGCGGGAGGGCGAGGCATCAGTGGTGAGCAAGGTGGCGGGGTAAGCGGCCATGATGCCGGCAGGGACTCGGATGCCGTTGGATATGGCCTTCATGGACACAGTGATGCAGAGGTTTCCTCCAGCGCTGTCACCCGCCAGACAGACCCTCTCCGCTGTGGAGCCTGAGACAAAGACAGAAACATTAGTACCGAAGTAATTAGGATCAGTTGAACTCTTCTATTACACGCTGAAAGGATAAACTGATTTTAGGATTTCCAAGTTTTTTCATCAGTCTACATTAAAGGTCCATTTAGGGGACTGGCAGAAACGAGATATAATACTCATAGGTATGTTTTTATTAGTGTTTCTACAACTTGAAGTGTCACATTGACAATTTATGAGAAAACAATAACTGAAAACTTAATTGTAGGAGCTACAGATTTTTTTTGGTAGTATTTAGTTGACTAATAAGTGGTATTGTTTGACTAGTCTACGTGTTTGCTTTAAGTATATACAAACAGATAAATATACAATAAACCATCATTAGTTGCAGCCAGTCTATACTGTAGCCTGTAGCTTTTCTCCAGCTTCTCTGCATACGACACTTTCCCTGTTCCATGCTCTGATAATATACAGATAACAATTCACATGCCAGTTTCAGTGCATGATGTGACCCGCCTCCTGGAAAAAGGGACAACCAGTAACACCACTTATGATAATGGTACACTGCGTACCTATTTACATCTGCAATGGGAACATACGGAGCATTTGTTAAATGTGCAGATTCTCTATTGCTTTCTGTAGTAATACATCTGTAGATCTGTTTGTGTGAAGACATCGGCACACACATTTGCATTTTGCACATGGGCGTATTTGTTTCTTTGAATTCACACATTCTGTTACATTTATAAACATTCATTTACATATAGTCAAAACTATATAATAATATAACAAATATTCTACTACTACTATTCTCCACCTGCCTTTTACTTCTCTGTATCTTAAGTTTCTTACCTTTTAAAACAAGTTAAAAACAAACTAACTTTCTTTTAACGGATTAAAGACAGATGACAAACAACAAAAACTGAAATCGTGCAAAACGAGAACAGAAATATAAACAGATTCATCAATCAATCTTTTAAAATAAAAGACTCTCCCCATTGGTTTAGTCGTTTACTAGCCCTGTGTTGTTGCGCTGTGACGTCGTACACATACCCAGCAGGTGACAGTTGTTCAGAGCCCAGCAGTAGGCGTAGAAACATTCCTCCAGAGCTCTGGGAAAAGGTGCTTCAGGTGACAGAGAGTAATCCACGGAGAGGATCGGTACGTTCAGCTCCTTTGACCAACTCCGAAGATAATTCTGATTCATAAAGAGGAGCAGAGTCATTAACAGTTGCTTATTAACATTGTATTTAATAAATATTTTGTGTATTAACCATATGATGATTTAATAACGATCTTTCTCTTCTTATCTTTCTTATCTTTATCTATTTATATTTTGAAAGTACTTTATTTTTCTGTGTGATTTTTGTGTGATTTGAATAATTGTATATTGATACTTTGTGATATTTTATATCCTCGTAGGCGTAAAAACCTACTTGGCAATAAACAAAATTCTGATTCTGATAACTATTGCAAACATCTGCTACAAATCAAGCTGAAGTTAACGTCAGCAGTCTTACACCAGCAGGCTGTACTGTACCTCATGAGATCTGGATGTCTGGGCCACGAAGCCCCCGCCGTGGAAGTGGATGAGCAGCCAGGGGGAGCGAGGTTGCTTCTGCACCCAGGGGAGATGGGACGCGGAGATAGGGGGAGGATCGGATCGAGAATAGGCTAGCAGCTCTTCGGTGTCCTATAAAGTAACATATAAGGTCATTAATAATTAAGGACACAAAGCAATGAAACAAATAGACCAAGACGTGAATAACAACTTTTTAAACACATTTTTTATATCATAATATACAGCTACTTTGTATTTTTAATCTCTTGTAAAATATAAAAGTTTTGTCTCCCTTATCTATTTCATTGCTTCACAATTTGCAATATTCCCTTTCATAATTATGTCCAATCCCACCATCCAGATTCAAGAGGAAATGTCATGGGTACTTTTAGTAAATGGATACATTAGTAAAACATCGATCTGCGTCTGCTTGTACATTCATTTCTACACACTTGTGTTGTTCTCTATCGCTAATGCAACTGATCAGCTGAGTGATTTCACATTTCAGCCAAACACCATTGACCTGATTAATTCCCCCACTGGGCCATTTGTGAGACCGGTGGGATTTCTATAACAATTGAATGTGAGATCGCTTTGTCGGCATCAGATCAGAAACCAGCAGAATTCCTAACACGGAGGCCGAAAGGACAAAGAAAGATCACATGCAAGTTTCTGACGCTCAACACAATGGATCAAAGATTAAATGTCTTTTAACTTTCTACGTAGGAGCCACTACTGTCCTCTGTGGTTTCCTGTGTTCCTCCCTGTATCAGACCTGTGGAGCCTCACCTGTCCTTCTCGAATCTCATAGGATATCAGACGCAAGTGGACAGGCCCGGGCCCACAGTGGGCTACTGGAGGTGACACGGTGGCTGTTAGACTGGGGTCTGAGGCCAGCGGGAGGTTCAGAGTGACAGGAGGCAAAGTCAGGGTGAGGTTCACCTGCACTGGGCAAGCGGCTATTCTGGTGAAGCCCTGCACAGAGAAAGACATGCAGGTGATTGAGCAGTTAAAACATTAAAGAGGACTTCAGCTCATTTGAGAATCAGCGGGAGAATATTTGACCCTGCCTACTGATATAAGGCCGGACTCCGTGAGGTTCCAGAAAGACTTCCAGAACTGCATGTCCAGGTTCTGGGTAATGCGTTCGAACTCGGCGCCCCGCAACTCTGGATCAATGACGTACTTCCCTGATGTGAGGAGGGAGAGGGCAGCAATACCTGGAAGAGGACGGATGATTTTAAACATATAAACACATGTATATAGATATAGATAGTAAGTAACACACGCAGCGGCTCCTCTCTCTAATCAAGAGCCTTTATTTTTATGTCTTGTTGATTGTCTATTTTATGTCTTGTTAAATTGTTGATTGTTCATTTTATATCTTTTCTATTTTTTTTTATTGCATGTTTGCACCGGGGGT